CTATTCTCGATGCTGTGTCCGCTGCGCCTTTAATCACCACCAGGGCAGGGATTTATCATTTGATGCAGGCTTTAATGCTTTAGCACCGTTCCCTCGCTACTTCACGGTTCGGTTCTTGCTGATTCAATCCAGAACTTCATGTATCACAGTTTTACCTCACTATTTTGGTACGTTTTCTTGCCGTTTTTCTTCCTTCAAGTCGGACCAGTCAAAAAAATGTCTTTTTTTTTTTTTAAAGGGAAAATTTATTTTACCTCCATCCCCGCTATCCCAAAATTAGACACATACATATTAGTGTTTGTAAATTTAGTAATGCCCCTTTGGTACTGTTTAGGTATTGGATGGCAATGTAGAGTTAAGGTTACATCTTATTGGCGGAAGTGAGATAAAAGGATACAATTCAAGATGAATACAATCAAACCTCGGTTTTCGAACGTCTCTGTTCTCGACCAGATCGGTTTTCGACCAAAAATTTCAAGTTCTTTATGCCTCGGATAATGACCGAAAATCGGTTCTCGACCAAACTGAGCGCACTTGAATGCGCTACTTGACTCCTCTTGCCTTCCTTACACGAGGAAGTGACGCTTCTTCGTGTAGCGTTCCATTATGTGCAGACGCGTTGAATAAAGATTTTTTTTAAAAAAAAAAGAGCGTGGTTTCGGTTTTCGAACAAATTGGTTGGCCTTTTGGAACGGATGTCGAAAACCGAGGTATGACTGTGTTGCGAATTGCATGTCCCATAATCATGATGACAATGTTTTTTTTTGATATAATGCGCAGCCCTAATTTGTACATCATATTACTTTTTTAAAACTGGACATCCCAAATACAGAAGAAAAACCCGATCAATAAGCGAAACCTACAACCAACGTTCCACCAAATAGCACAAAAGTAACCCTTCAGTTACTTCGCCCTGAGCACAAAAAATAAACTTTGAATTAGTAACTGAGGCCAGTAACGACTTCACACATAAATGCAGACAAAACGGATTCAAAAAAACGGTTTGGCTCGAGATGACAAACATAGCCACAGCATGTCTTTTTTCAAAATGACATCACCAACTACTTGCCCGGCGTGCACATTAAAAGGGTTTTGTTATCGTTACATAAATCTCCTTTGAAAACGCCAATCCCATTTTACACGCTCGTGCGCCTACTCCACGTTTGTATGGCGGCCGACCACCAAGTGATGGACAGCTCGGGGATGCACCTTGTTTGCAAAAAGCCTCCACTCCGCATGCCAATGAAGTCTGCGTGGCGTAGCGGAACGGGAAACAAAGCTCAGATCCAAACTGACAAACAAATATGAATAAAAATGACCTTGTGGTCATACACATTTCCCCTTTAAATGTGTTCGGGCGAGGCCTTTTCAACGCCTCACTTGCTGCGCGTCAATCACGTGGGGAGCATGGAGAAGCTCGAAGCATAAGACTCGACAGATGGAGGGATGCAAGTGTTTCAACATCGCGCGAATGTGACGTGTTAAACGTTGTAGGATGCGGCCACACAGTATATACCGCAATTCCGGGCCAAAAAAAACTGTAGGTCAGCCTTAACAAAACAACTTGTCAATTCCCACGCAAGATTTGTGTCAGTGTATCACTTTACGCACACTCGTGCCAAAACCTGACACGGCCGGCTGGCTGGACAAGGTTAGTGGTTACGTTTACGTAGATATCGGTATTGCAATAGAAGCGTAGTCTGACGTTAAGTTTATTTGGGTGGTGGTATGCCTGCCAGAATGGGCACTGCCCCTGTCTCTTTAGCATCGTGATACTATATTATTTAAGCTATTTCGAAAATATCTGTCGTCTTCTTTGCCTTTCTGCTTTTCCCATGAAGGGTCGCCACAGAGAGTGTTCCATTTCCATCAAAGTCAAACTTCTGCATCCTCCACTTGAAAACCAGCTGCCCTCATGTCTTCTCTCACGACATCCGTCAGCCTGCTCTTAAGGCCGAATCTCACTGATGGTTTGCCAATGCGTGCACACCGAGCGAATGTTTTTTTTTTCTTGTCGCAAAGACATTTTGGCGACAACAAAAAGCGTCTGCAACATTTACAATGATTTGGGAATGTCTTGCAAACATCTTTGCTGTTGGTTGCAACATTGAATGAACCATGACACCCCCCCCCCAAAAAAAAGAAAAAAACAAACCCATGCATTCTCTACATCAGCGGTGTCAAACTCATTTTTGACACGGGCCACATTTTAGCCACCGTTTCACTTGGAGGGCCTTTATGACTGAAACCATATAAAGAAGTACTGTTGATTCAACTATTGTTTAAGTTACTATCATGAGGGGTTTGGTCACAAGAAAAGGCTTAGTATATATCTCTTATTTATTACATATGAGAATTTCAAATTTTGGTCGACATTTTAGAAAGGATCATGGAAGTTGAAATCTTTGAGCTGCTTTCGCGGGTCATATTAAATGATGTGGCGGGCCAGATCTGGCCCCCGGGCCTTGAGTTTGACACCTGTGCTCTACATGCACACACACACTTGCAAACCTTCGCCTCTTCCTGAAATAGGGGCTTTCTGTCTTCTTCTTATTCACTTTCCCAGTTGCTCCATACTCATCATCCGTCAACTGATATACTCGCGATCGCTCATGTCCAAAGTAACTCAGGGTGATCTCTCACTTTTTCCCCCCCAAAACATTAAACCTTGACTGTCCCGCTTGATGAGCTCATTTCTAATTCTATCCATCGTAGGGTCTCCTAAAGAAAATGTCAACACATTCATTTCTGCTAACCGCAGCTCTGCTACCCGTCGTTTCTTCGGAGCCACGGTCTCTAAACCGTCCATCATGGCTGGCCTTACCACTATTGCGACGGCAGCTTGATGTTGCGGTCAGACAGGCTATGGTCACACTCCAGGGTGTAATGCCCAATTCAGATTTTTTTTTTTAATCCGCTCTTTTTATGTTCTCACCTACGTACGGCCCTGTGAAGCTTTTTGCGACTGTCTCCTGTCTACGTGGGAAAGCTCTAAAATCTATTATTCTCACTTTTGCTGTACAATGCGTTTTAATGAGGCATCTAGTGTAAATTTTGACTTGCAAACAGCGAAACCTCTCATTTTGAGCCTTGCTGTGTATGCGAGCGTCTGCGTAAATGTGCATGTGTGTGCCATAGGCTTTGGCAGGAGAATTAGTACGCGACATGTGCATCAAACATAAAATAGGCATTTAAAGTTGTGCCCTCACAGCCATGCTCAACTAAAATGAGACAACCAAATCATTTCATGAAGCGATCAAATTCACACGTTCATTTGAATGAGTCGATCTCAAAGACTCACCAATCAAACACCTAAAAATAAATAGACAATACAAAATACTGAATATGCGAATGCACAGTGACTGACAAATTTGGTGCACTTGTCAATAATGCATGTGCACCTACACACCTCTCAAGCACACCCCCTCGTTTAAGGAAGTTTGACCAGCGACGTTAAACAGCTTTTTGCGATCCAAGGACGATTTACATCTTCTGTTTGGGCCCTTTGACAAGAGGAACATCAATTAAAGATGTAGAGCACTACATTACTTTCTTGGGCTAGCCACAGCTGTTTAGCTGCCCAAAAAGTGTACAGTACATTTGCGCTGATTTACATCCACACTCGTGTGAGTAAAGACTACAAAAATAAGTTGAGCTAGGCACAAGGGCCCCTCCTCCTTTGTGGTTGGAGCGAAGAAGGCTGCTGAAGCCCTTGGTGGTCGTGCCCCGGCTTGCAAAGGTATGCACCAATCATGGCTTGAAAGCGCAGCAGGCAGGACGGGAAGCGACTAGCAAACAAGGCCAAAAAAAAAAAAAAAAAAGCTGCAGCCGGTCAAGTTCTCCAACCATTCAACAGCATCGAATGTAATCTAAACGTGAGATGGCAATGTTTGGGATAAAACTGACAATCCGATCATTTGCACGTTTTGAAGTATGCAGAAATTCAGCAATGAAACGAGGTGGGTATATGCTACAGTTCCGTTATCGGACAGGACTCTCTCATCGTGCTTTAATGCCCTATTGGTCTTACCAACACAAATCATGCGAGTTTAAAAATAAAACAGCGGCCGTATTGACCGTTTCCGTCAATGATTGCATTTCACACAACGCCTTACCAAAATGGTTCTTCCGGCAGTTCCTACCTATCGTCTTTCTATTCAAACGAATGCAACGAATATCCTGTCACAACTGGTGGTTAGACCACAAAAGCCTTCCGCCAGCAAAGTCCGATAATGGAATCACACGTTGGTGGGTGTCCTCCGGTTCAAAACTAGCAGTGGGCGTTGTTAGCAAACGCCAACGCAAAAATCGCCTCATTTTAAATGCATTTACGTAAAGCAACACGATATATAGCGAGATAGCGAGAGAGCATCCGCGCGTGTGTGTGCATCTCCGTTCATGCAATTTCATTTTGTGTTGGGCTAGCGGCTAACGGTAAAGTGCTGTTGGTGGTTAGGTTACGCGTTAGCAATATGCGGCTAATAAAAAAAAAAGTAAACCACAACATTACAATGCTTTATACAAACTAAACGGCAGCTCGTGGTTTTCTCATTGTCCCGTTAGCCGCCGATGCTAAGACGAGCGAAATCAAGCACGGCGAGACGAAAACACTCCCCCACAGAGGCTACAAAAGAGGCTAACTCACCCCGAGAAAAGCGTCGACCAAGCGGGTTAAATGCATTTACGTAAAGCAACACGATATATAGCGAGATAGCGAGAGAGCATCCGCGCGTGTGTGTGCATCTCCGTTCATGCAATTTCATTTTGTGTTGGGCTAGCGGCTAACGGTAAAGTGCTGTTGGTGGTTAGGTTACGCGTTAGCAATATGCGGCTAATAAAAAAAAAAAAGTAAACCACAACATTACAATGCTTTATACAAACTAAACGGCAGCTCGTGATTTTCTCGTTGTCCCGTTAGCCGCCGATGCTACGACGAGCGAAATCAAGCACGGCGAGACGAAAACACTCCCCCACAGAGGCTACAAAAGAGGCTAACTCACCCCGAGAAAAGCGTCGACCAAGCGGGCTGCGACAAACTAGCGACGGTGGTCCATGGGGGTGACTGCGGCGGGGAGCATCCGGGTTGGGCTGCTGCGGTTCGAGTTGTCGACAATTCCAAAAACGCTGCGTGGACTTGACGCTAGTTTGCGCCCTGTCGATCATGTGTGTTTATTTGTATAGCTGTGTGCGTACGTGTGGCAGCAAGGAAACAAGAGAGAGAGGGGCCTTCTGCTTGCCGAGAGGAAATGGTCTCCGCGCATGCGCAGCCGGACGATCGGCAGCTGGCTCGGCTTCACGGTCGGCGAGCACAACCCAGCGGCCAATATAACAGGCAACAATCAACCGATGGTCGACTTGTTACTACCAACTCGTGTTTGGCGATTCTCGTCCGGATAAGACGACTCATTGTCGGGGTATGGGTCATTCCAGGAATGAAAAAAAAATCCTGATAGTCTCGCCACCCCATGTAAACTCAAATAATCCATGTGCAAAATACAACCACAAGCACGAGTTTCGATATTTATTTTTGGCCGAAGGAAAAAAAAAGTAGTGTAATTGTGCTGTTGATCAAGAGATTTTAAATATTATTCAAAATACCCAATGGACATTTAAAATAGCTTGTTTCTCTTATTCCCTCGTTCTTAGATTCAGGAGTTGGTGACCTCTGATGTAGCATAATTGCGTAAATCATTTCAAATCAAGTCAAATTTATTGATAGACCATTTCATCATAAAAGCGCCTCAAAAGGCTTCACAAACCCACTGTTGACGAATATTAATTTTAACAACATCCCCAGATCTTACGGGCAAGGAAAAACTAAATTAAGAAAAAACAAGAAAAATTAAGAAACCTTGCTAAGTGGCTTTAGATGGGGGATCGCCTTTCCAGGATGAGCAGACTGCAATGGATGCATACATTTAACACAAAATACTTCTTCATGGGCCGCATAGAGTCACGTTGAAGGATGCAAGGGTCACTTTGAAAATGTCCGACTTTCATAAACATACTAAAACCAATCACTCAAGCAATTATTTATTGTAGTTTTTTTAATAATGCCAAATACTGTACAGTGATTACAGTATATGTAGAGTGGGGCAATTTTCAGGGACTCAAAAACATTAGTTTGCAGTCAACGACTTCCTGAAGTCTGGAATTGTGTTATGTTATAGTTTATCCACGAGAGGTCAGCATTTGTCTTTGACAAATTCAGATAAGTGTATCCAAATTGAAGAGCAGCCACCCTCGTTTCCAATGATGATGTTGATTCGAAAAATTCCAGAGACATTCTTGCCAAGAGACTAAATGCGTAACTTAGACCTAAGATGCCGTCACATCACACCTTGCAGAGGAAATAACCACGTAACCTGACCTCGAAGATACGAAGCAGGTAGACACCCACGCGGCTTCTCAGGGCGATGCCTGTAAAACAAGGACCTGATTCCGAGTTTTAAAAAAGCCCCCCTTCCTCCACATGAGCAGATCTTGTTCCCATCCTGGAGCATACACTTATTCCTTCTTCTGTTAGTCACTGCTATCTGCTCAACAAAGGGCAAGATCAGCGGCTTTCTGATTCTGATCAGCGGCTTTAACAAAACGTAACAAACACAAGGCAGGCCATACGTTCTGTCGCTGTTGTTAGTTGGGTTCCAAGAGATTTTCCGAATGTAAAATAAGGTTCTTGGCTCAATGAAGTCAAGGAAAGAACTAGCTTGGACCAAGTCAAAACCAGGAATTTGTGGAGTCAAGACCAAGTTAAGACTATGAGGAGTTGAGACCAAGTCAAAACAAGGACTTTGAGACGCTGTGACCAGGTCAAGATCAGGATTTTGTAGAGTGAAGCCCAAATCAAGATTTTGAGCAGTTGAGAACCGGTCACGATAAAGACTTTGAGAGATGGAGACAAAGTGAGTCCAGTGGTTAGCGCGTCGACCTCACAGTGCAGAGGTACCGGGCTCAATTCCAGCTCCGGCCTCCCTGTGTGGAGTTTGCATGTTCTCCCCGGGCCTGCGTGGGTGTTCTGCGGGTACTGCGGTTTCCTCCCACAGTCCAAAAACATGGCAGGCTGATTGAACGCTCGAAATAGTCCCTAGGTGTGAGCTCAAATGGTTGTTCATCTCTGTGTGCTCTGCGATTGGCTGGCGACTGGTTCAGGGTGTCCCCCACCTACTGCCCGAAGACAGCTGAGATAGGCTCCAGCAGCCCCCGCGAACTTTGTGAGGATTAGCGGATCGAAAAATGAATGAATGAATGAAGTAAAGTATAACATGTCGAACAGTTATTGCGGAGTTCCGAGTGTCCGCTGTTACTCAGTGCGCGTTTGTGGCGCTCGAGCAGTCACGTGATGGCAAGAATGCCATGAGCCGCGGCAACCTGTGCTTTCCGAATACTCTTTTTAGTGTACGGATGCAAATAGCCAAATAAGGCTTGATGCTAATGCCAAGACCTTAACCGCTTGCATGTCAGAGACCAAGCGGGCTCATGAATGACTTACAGTATATCCCGCACTCCAGCTGCCCAAACAGTGAAGGCTCAAACTGCCTCCCCCCCCACCTCGTTGTCCTCAAGTATCCTTGACCACAGCACTTGACCTCGCGACTGTGGGATGACGCAACAAAGGTTCAAGCAGCTGAGCAATAAAAGCTTTCAAAGGATTTATCGCATGATTACTGACCCCGATTTAACGTTTTATTGCGATACTTTCCAAAGACAACTCGAATGGCACATGTTCGAGAGCAGACCTCGGGCAGGCCAATCAGTGATGAGTGAAAATTCATCGAATGCCACACGATGCTCAGGATCGTTGTCAGACTTCTCAGATCCGGCGGGATCATTTGAATCAGGTGTGTTGGAGGAGGGAAACATTTAAAACATGCTGGATAGGGACCCCCCGAGGACCGGCGTAGGACACCTCTGCTTTCGTTCTATAACTGGCAGTACTAGGCGCCAACTGCCACACACAGTAACCTTTTTTAACTAACTCGGTGTTTATTCTCATCATGAAGAGTGGATTTCTTTTTTCTTGCGCTTATCACTTAAACAGCGAAAATTAAAAAAATAAATGAACAATCTAACAAATGGATAACGAAAATCCAGCTTTGAAGTGGTTTCGTAACTAACAGACGGAAGGGGCGGACGGACGGGCTGACATCAAAATAAAAAGTGGTTTGAGGTTTCAACCATTATGATAGATTTTCCTAATGCTGCCGACTTACTAAATTGGTAAACAAGCACCCAATTAACCAACGGTAATCATAAAACAACTGTTATGGATTACATTTTTTTTTTTTTTTTTGTATCGTCCTGCAACACAGCGAACAAACAGAGTGACGGGGAACAAATTTCAGTTATTTCTAGCATAATCTTCATAATTCACTGACTGGTTAACAGGCTTTATATGTTTTAGTTTAATAGTTTGTCTCAAAACCTGATAACTGACTGACTGACCGACATACCACCCAATGGCAATCCAACAGCAATTCTCATGTTGTTATTTGGGTTTTTAATTATTGCAAAATTCTTCTCATGTTTTAATGAACTAACTACAACTGCAATAACAAATATGGATATATTTTTTAAAAATAACTTGAAAAAGGAGTATTTTTGGCCTCATATTTCAGATCAAATTATCTTTGTCCACCTACGTTGGGTGTTTTATGACAGTGATTTTTATTTTTTTTGGTTATATTTCTGTCTATTGTCAAGTACTGAAAATCAAACACAGCTGTTCAAACTGGAGGTTTGCCTTAGAACTACTAACGCGCTCCTATGCTAATACATATTGTCATATCTCTTGTCTCTTTTCCGCACACCACCCGAAATCCATTTTCTAAATTTTGTGAGTGGCTGCAGGCTACCGATCCCTTCAAAAAACCTGTCCGGCACTTTTGACTACATTCAAAGAACTGAGGCGCAATCTCTTATGTGGTTTTAAGAAGCCATTATCCACGTGCTGGGTTCTCACGCATCCTCCGAAGATAGATAACATAATACAAGGCACATATGCCTTTCTATTACGAATGACACCATCTTGTTTCTGTGCAAACTGGCGACCTTTTAAAGCACAGATGTCAAACCCAAGACCCCCGGGGCCAGATCTGGCCCGCCATGTCATTTTATGTGGCCCGTGAAAGCAAATCAAACTTGTCAACTTCCATGATGCTTGCTAAAATCTCCACCAAAATTTTAATTTCTTTCTTTAATACATAAGAGAGATATTGCAAGCATTTTCTTGTTACCAAACACTCATTACGGTAACTGAAACAATAGTTGAATAAACCGTTATTATTGACGTTTTTTTTCTGGTTTCAGTGATAACTGCCCTCCAAGGGAAACGGTAACTACAATGTGGCCTACGACAAAAATGAGTTTGACACCCCTGTTTGAAAGAGACCCCTCGCTAATCCCCCCGTGCTGCCCTGCTAGTGGCACATTAGCAGGGCAATGAAAGTCAAGCTGCAGGGAACTGCCCGACTCAGGATGTCTTTGACAACTAACGCTGCTGGGAGCCTGTTAAGTCCATAATGGCCCCCCGCGGACCTCTCAGCTCGCTCGCCAAGAACCTGATGGCCCCGCCAGAAATGTGCGCACACCATCACGCTCGCGATCGTCACGCAAACACGCACAAGACAATTGCATGAGCACACGTGGATCCTCATCTTGACCCTATTCCCTGCCGCTTATTGTTTGGCCCCGTAAATACTGTTGAGGGTGCGACAGGAAGAGTCAAGCACCTCTTGTCATGCAAACGGCTGCTTGGAGTGTTAGGCCAGCAGGAAGTGGGAGTTGTAATCGTGTGCACTAATTGCCGCTCAAGTATTCTGACAGGTAAGAGGCTGTTCACACGACACCGCTTTGGCTCTTTTGTTGACATGCCGACGCCAAAAGAGAGCATTTACCGGTAAGTGCTGTATTATTTTTTTTTGGCCTCTTTCTCACGTACATCCCACAAAATCGCCACGCCTGAGTCCTAAGAGAAGTAAATGCTGCATGCGTTTCACAGCTGCTTAAATGTTTACAGTCACCTATCTTAAACGTTTAAACAGTCAATATTAGTAATAATAATAATAATCCCCCAAGCAGCTCAATATCATTCAATTTGTGTGAGCTTTCATACAGCAACCTGGCATCCCACCATTGGATAATTAGATGATGTCATCACCACCACCTGGTGTATGAACTACATTTTGGACAACGACATCGTTTTCAACACAACGAGGCCGGAGGAATGACTTCCCCCGTACAGGTATTGCCACATTAA